GGTTATTTGTGTTGGAATAAGTTTGAATGAATTTTAATGTTGGTTCTATTTTTTGCTTTGGAATGCAGTAAAAACAATTCAGAATTATTTTTTATTTATTTTTTTTAATTAAACTTAGCAGGGTTCTATTTTTTTGCGTTTTTTGCATTGGCATGCAGTAAAAAAATATATACAAAAATAACTAATTTCATAAACATAATTTCATTGATTTCAAACATACATCAACTACATAATGCACCTTACAAATTCATTTCATAGTGAACATTAACATGGTGCTAATGAAACACACAACCAAAACCACCATAGATGTCTTCATCATCATGTTCAGTGCCTCTATCTTCATTTCCAGCTTCACGAGTCTTCCATTAAAGTGCACACCTTCCTCAACTCTTGGTTTCTCATCATCAATCTCATCTCTTCCATAAGTGGGAGCAAATCCAACTGGGTTGCACCAATCCCAGAAATCAAAACCCCCCAAAACCCGTCTTTTCACACACACAGTACAATCTACCTTTCGAAGGCTTTTTGGACTCTACGATTCTAATGGTTGCTTTTTTTCCACAACGACATTGGTTGCTAATGAACCTCAACATTTTTCCTTCTCCACTGCCCGTGCTTGAAGAGGACATTTTTGCTGGCCTGTAACTCAAACATACAGAGAAAAGAGAGAGTATACAAAACAATCTTCTTAGGTAAGCTTTTATTTCTAACTCTAGGGGCATTTTGGTCTTTTAATTGTGAGGGATCATTATCAGTTCATGCCCAAATTGCACATTACTCGCGTGTATTGCATAGCTTGTTAGAATAAATGGAAATGCTAACTGTACACATCAACCCATTAATCACAGGGGTTATGTGGTGATATTATTCAAACGTCAAGGGGGTAATTCGCACTCGCTCCAAACCATAAATGGGTAAAGTGTATTTTTTCTTATTAGTTAAATCCCTCAATAATATTATTAAATTAGAGAAATTTCAAATTTCTTTATGACGAGTTGAAATTTCTTTATCAAACGTTGAAATTATTTCTCTACATTGAAGTTCTCTGTGAAAATATTAAAGAATCCCAACTATTATAAAAATATTGCACATCTTTTATATTGTAAAATCTTAATATTAAGGACATTAAATTGAAAACCCTATTCCTTTATGGGGCGAGGAAAATCCGTGCGGGATGGTGGAAAATGGAGATACATACACTTTGTCTAAAGCATAAAACAAAAATAAAAATTTATTTGAGACCTAAAAAATATCACAATTTAAATTATAATAACATAATATCATAGGTATCAATTTTTAATTTATTACCCATCTAATGATATAAAATTCAAGTCACATATCACATTATTAATAGTGAGTTTTTAGATCTAGACAATTATTCACAGATTACAATTAAAAGGAAAAGGAAAAGACCAGTAAGTCATCAAAATAATCTCATTTGGCAATTAATCAGTTTGTTTGGTTTAAGTTTTCTGAATTTATTTTTTAAAAGATTAATCTTTTTTTTTATTTTTTGTATATTTTATTTTTATTAATTTTTTAATTTTAAAATTTTTTAGATACACTTAATATAAAGGGGTTTTTTTTTTTAGGATCCCTGGTATTAAGACTTTATAGTATAAAGGACATCTAATATTTTCATAATGTCTAAGGTCCCTCAACATTGATCCAGAGAAATTCCAGTACAGAGAAATTTTAGCCCAGAGAAATTTTTCCCAGAGAAAATCTGGACTGCACAGAGGAATTCTCACATTTCTCTGGACTTTCCAAAGCAATTCACTTCAACCCAGAGAAATTTCCCTCTCTAACTCAGAGAAATTCACTGAAAACCAGAGAAATTCTCATCTCCAATCCAGAGAAATTCACTTAACCTAGAGAAATTCTCCCTCTCCAACCCAAACCAGAGAAATTCTTCCTCTCCAATTCGGAGAAATTCCAATTTTTGTGATTGAGATGCCAGAGATTGAGGCAAATTTCTTTGCTTTAACATCATGGGCAACTTTGTATACATCAAGAAGATAAATACAGAGGGGGAAAAATGCAATGGGATTTATACAAAATTAAGCATTTCAGGTTCCAACTTGAAACCAAAGAATTTCTCTGGACCAATCCAGAGAAAATTCAGTTCAAAAACCAGAGAATTTCTCTGGTTTCAACCCAGAGAAATTCAGCTCAGCAATTAATTCAGTTAACATTAGTCACTCTTACAGTGACACGCCACATTTCATAGCATTCTAATCAAGTGGTTACTAAATGGATTATTTTTTGGTTTTTATGCAGAAAAAAATAATGATCGTAGTCCCTGGGGAAACACACTAACCTGTGGCTGTCTCTAGAGTTGTAAACAAAAAGTGTGGCAATGAATATGCCATATCACAATACAAATCTGAAGATGATAGTATTTTCTATTTTTCAGCCAAATCCACCTGTTGCATAAGAAACTTGGAATGGAAAACAATAAATTGGAAGAGAGTTAAAAACCACACGCAAACAAGGACAGAAAAAAAAATATATATATATATAACAGTAGCTAAAAGTACATGATGCTCATACTTTTGCTGCAAGTCGAACAATTTTTACTTTTGAAGACGCTGGTGTGGTCGACTGGAACGGGGCCGAGGCGGTGAGCAACGGCGATAGAGTGGAGATTCCAAGAGGAACGAGCCGATGAACAGATGGATTTGGTGCAGTGAATCGCCATTGGCAAGTAAGCTTCGTATTTGAGCTCTAAGACTTGGTTGCCATTGAAGGTGTCGCGGGTGAACTCTGCGTTCAACTCTTCAATCATAAATTTACAGAGAGGCAGGTCGGGTCGCGGATCCGGGCGGCGGGGAGATCTGCGACGGTGGCGGAGCGGAGGGAGGAATCGGAGGAGAAGGTGTTGAGGAAGAGGTCGTAGAAGAGAGTGAAGGAGCAGAGAAGAAAGAGAGAGAGAGAGGAGAGACAGAGTCAAATTTATCTGATATATGTTTAGGGACCTTAGACATCAAAAAATAATTTTGTGGATCTCTTCCATTACGGAAAGTGGGAGAGGGACCCTAGACTAATTTTCCCTAAAATAAATATACTTAAAAATTATAATATTTGTAATTTTATTTTAAAAAAATTACGAAATAAATACAAAAACAAAATCTAGTACATTTTTCATATTATTTATTAATTTAAAAAGAAATATTTTACTAAAACACAATGATTGAATCTAAAAAATTGCTGATAAAAAAGAATGGGAGGTGTGGTAATGTAGAAAAATCAACTGGAATGAATGTAGTTTTTTTTTTTTTTTTTTTTTTTTTTTAAGGGGGAAAAAAAAAAAAAAAAAAAAAAAAAAAAAAAAAACCAAGACATAGCACTGATGTGGCAGTGGGTGGGACCCACTACCACATCACTAGTGGTACCTCTAATTAGAGGTCCCAAGCATTTTTCAAAGTAAATTCTGAAAACTGAAATCAAATAGAGTGAATACATATTTCATATTTTTTTGTATTTATTAATTTTTTTTAAAAAATATTTTACTATTTAGATATATCTATCTAAATAAGTAAAAAAATTATTCAAAATTTTAAAAATATTCATTTAAAAAAAAAACTCAATTTTGGAAAAGATTTAATTCAGAAAACTGACTGATTATTTTCTTTTCAATTGCGTTGTGTTTGTCTCCAACCAAACACAACATTCGTGTCCAACTTGAACTGTAAAATTTATTTCAGACCAGTTCCATGTATAGATTTTGAGGTCCTAGTTTCATCCTACGCTAAAGGTGTATTGGTTCCTCCATTACAACAACGAGACCCACTCAACCATACCTTCATATTGACTTCCCAAGTTGGATCAACCAATTCTCTAATTTCTCTCAAACTCCGATCTCCAACTCCACCGGCACTGTCACTCGCCGATCTCCGATCGACCACAACACGAAACCCTAGCTCTCACTGTTTCGACTGCTGAACAATTTGAAGCTAAACCCCATGACACGCCAGTACTTTGACCAGACCATTTTCAGATCTGCAAAGAATTGGTGTGTATAGGTCTTGTATTTGGCTTTTGAATTTTCGATTTTGAATCGAAATGGCATCGAGGAATAGAACCATATTGTTCAAGAAGTACAGAGATGCGTTGAAAAGCGTTCGTGTTCCATCGGGTTCTTCACCGTCGACTTCTGGTGGTCCGGTGATTGAATTGTCGACCACTTTTCTTCTCAATTCCAACC